CCCCCGCCCCATAGGTTCTATTTTAAGGACGTGAGTACTTTCTTTTTTAAACAAATTTTTTGGCTGGGCATGGTGGCTCATGCCTACAATTCCAGCACTTTGAGAGGTGGAGATGAGAGGATTGCCTGAGTCCAGGGGTTCGAGACCAACCTGGGCAACTTGGTGAGACCTTATCTCTACAATAAATCAAAAAATTAGCCAGGCTTGGTGGCATACGTCTGTAGTTCCAACAACTTGGAAGACTGAGGCGGAAGGATTGCCTGAACCCAGCAGGTTGAGGATGCGGTGGTCGTAAGGGTGCCACTGCATTCAAGCCTGGGTAACAGAGTGAGACTCAGACTCAAAAGAAAAAAAATTGTAAAAAGGCATCATTTTATTAAGTTGCCTACTTCTCAGCATAACCTCACAGGCAATGTGCTCAAATCATTTATTTATTCATTCAATAGTTACCTGTTGGGCCAGGAATGGTATACTAAGGGTATCATAGGATTCCTCCCCAAATTCAAACTCTAGACATCAGTGCACCTTCAAATCCCACACTAAAGTTCTTCTATCTGATAATCAGCTCTAACAACCTTAGTATCAGCATGATTTAAAAGAGACTTGATAATTGTTGATAAATTTGTTTCTGATTACTTTAGCACAGCAGGAAAAGAAACCCCTCAAAAATATAAACATTTCCTCAGAACTTCATACATGTACAAAATTGAAAATTTTACTTTGAAACATAAAACATTATATTAACAACTTAATCATAGCGCAGCTGAAGGTGTTCTGGAAAAACATGATGGTACAATGAAAGATACTTTTTAAGTCATCAGATTCAGAGATGGGCCCAAGAAATACGAATCTGAAGATATGACTTTAGCATTAATTTCTTAGCAATAATTAGAGTTTTGCCTAGAGTATAAAATGAAAAAAAAGTTGTTGTGACAAATGGTTTTTAGAAGCTATTTTTGCTTATGCATTTCCGACTTACCAGAACCTATCCATTGGTAATGTTTATCGCTGGCCTAGTCATGTAGGGACCTTTAAAGAATTCTTAAAGTTGTGGCCAACCCTTATGTAGTTTATCAATAATTGATTTGGTTGTACTTTCAACGTTTTCAGAGAAATTACAAGTGGGATAGGCCACCATCACACAGAGTGATTAAACATTAGCATAAGGCCGGAGTGTAGTTGAGAGTTATGTAGTACTGACCACACCTGTTTCTGGAATTTAGCCAAAGGATAAGTCAGGATAGAACCCAAGACAATGTTCCTTGGAAAAAATGGAACACGAATGATACTGTGAGAATGGGGTGGAATTTTATGAAACTAAAGAGAAGGAATGTCATTCCAAGCAGGGAGTACATGAGGAAAGGTATTTTAGCCTACTTTGATGAAATATGAAACGGGAAATCTCATAGTAAACACAGTGGGAAATAGAGAGTGCGGGGAATTTTCTAGCTTAAAAGACAAACCCAGGTTTTTAACTTGAGTTAAATAAAAAGTAGGGATCTTTCTTGGGTTTTCGAGCAGAGATACAGTCTGTGGAAAACCTCATCTATAGGTATTTTGAAAGGAACAATATGACTCAGGAAGGCCATCGGGACACCCAGATGGATCCCAAAGGTTCCGTTCACCTGTGGCCTCACTGTGGTCCAGGGTGATGTCAACAGCTCTGCGTGTACAGAAACCCTTTATGGGTAACCCTCCTGAGCTGGCCATTCTTAGAAGCATTATTAAGAGAAATAAATGAGATGTATGAACTAGAATGTCAGCTTGCTTTAACGCTGAGCTGAAATATAACTGACAAGCAAACAAGAACAATCCTGATAAGCATGTTATTTCTGTTTAGAGTCAAAAGTCTAGCTTCATAAGAAGCTTTCATGTGAATGGAATCTGAGCCAGCGAGTTATGTTATCTAAGAATCCAGTGACCTCAGACGGGGCCATGTCCCACCACCCCTCCCACCCGAAATGCACTTGGGACAGCTATGTGACTGTGACTGGTCCTGATCACTCCCGTTTCGAAGCTTCCTTTGCTGTCCAGCTCCCCTTGTACTGGGCTTGTTTGTTCTCAAATAATAGACTTATCTGACATCAAGTCTCGTTAGTTTATTACCCCTTGTCCCTTTTGGGGTTAATTTGCTTAGTGCTACCCTAACCTTTTCCATGTGGATTACAATCTCAGATGCTAGTCTCTCTTACCTTTTCTCTACATTCTTGGTAGGGGCGACAACTGAGAGAAGGTACGTCTGTGTTCCTCCCAGGTATGCATCGACGTGCTGACAGTAATATATTTGGGAAGGTGATTAGAGGAACATAGAAACCAGAAAGGTCAAGAAACTTCTTAAGTGATGCATAAACAGATTAAAAATCAGTAGCCGGGTGTGGTAGCGCGCGCCTGTAGTTCCAGCTGCTTGGAAGGCTGAGGTGGAAGGATCGCCGGAGTCCAGCAGGTCGAGGCTGGGGTGGCAGGGAGCGTGCCACTGCACTCCAGTCTAGGCGACAGAGAGAGACTCCAACTCAAAAAAAAATAAAAATAAAAATAAAAATCAGGGCGCTGGCTAATTTTTCTTTCTTCTGTACTTACTCTGAGGTCCAGAATTTCCCAGCACAGCCTCTTTGGGTTAGCATTCCTCCTCCTTGACCCCCATTAATCTCTGTCCTTTTCAATTGCTTGTTAGTAATCCAGGTATGATATGGTAGTCCCTTATTAACATCCTCTTGGGAAAGTTGGCAGGCTTTTTTTTTTCTTCCATGTCTGCACAAGGGCAAAGGCTGAAATTGTGCATTTCTAAATGTAGTCATTTTTATTTCTTTTCATACAAGGTATGACTTTGCTCATTTTTCACACAAATAGACACTGAAATGTCTAGAAGAGTATTAAATGTGAAAGATACTTTGCTTTTGACCAGTCTGATTAAATTTTATTTCAGGGTAAAATGTAGATCATTACACAAAAGCACAGAGGTCTTGGTGTTAATTATATGTGAAAGAAATAATACTTATTGATTAACTCAAGACATGATATCTGTACTGCCTGAAAGCTATAATATCTGAAATGAAAAACAAAAGGTCAGTCCACCTCCCATGGGACTTTTCCCCAGAGCTATATTATGAATTCGGCCAATCTTCATCATATTAATATTGAAAATGAATGCGGTATTCACAAAAGGTGACATGAAAACAACTCTGAAGACTTAGATTTTGTGGCTGTCACCTTGCGACTGGTTCATTTTGAAATA